ATACAAGAATATAATGCTTGGTAATCATCTTCAATATATTTGAATATTTCAGTCAGAAGTTCAAGTGGCAAACTATTCATTTCAATCATTTTTTTAATAATTTGTTTGTTGCACAATGTAAATGAAAAAAAAATTTATTTATCCAATTAAAAATAATTCATTTTGGGCAAATTTATTGTGTCAGTAATTAATGGCCAACTAATTAATAGTTATTCTCAAAAATCTCCACATTCATTAATATTAATATTAAAACACCAAGTTGAATTTATATTTTATATCTTATATGTGAGGAATTAACCAATTAATCAAATGATAATTTAGTATATTATTATTTATATTTTGAGATAATTGCTTGTTTATATGATTATATATTGGAAAATGTTATATTAATTAAGATTGTAATTTACATTTGACAGCTGTAGGAAATTGAGCATGGGTGCCTGCGTTACATTAAAGATAGCCAATAACCTATTTCCAGGGAATTTATAAACAAGAATTCTTACTATTTTTCAAATTCTCTTCCATGCAGATAAAATGTGCCTATGTTGTTTCAAACTCAGACATTAAAGATAGCTTGGTGCATTTCTTATTTTATTATTATTATTATTATTATTAAGTGTATTACAAAGGAAAAATATCTGGCAACTCTTTTTTTTTCTGGAAGTTAAAAATTTTAAAAGAAAAATCCGGATTTTTAAAGTACTATTTCCAGCCCTGCACACCACTCCACACACATACAAGCATACTGTTAAAAAAAATCAAATCCCAATTCGGGTGAAATCTTTATTATTTTCATGTATTACAACTACCTTTAATAAAAAAAAATAATACATGCAGAAATGAAAATATATGGCAGAATGGTGAACAAAAATTTATCATTTTTTTTGACTAGTACATTGACGCTTTGAAGGATGGCCACTGTCCTTATCATCAACACCAAATGCCATAGCTTGGTCTTGTAATATCTGAGCAATATATCTTAACATTTCCTTCTCAGGTTCCATGTTACCCTTAAAATCGCAAGTGTACTCTTCAGAAATATGAACTGTCGGTTCTTCTAATGATCCGGTCCAACGGACAAATCGCCATAATTTTCCAGTTGTAACTATCCCGAACATCGCTTGCTCCATTTGGCCATGCTTGTGTTTACCCAATTGTTGTTCTATCGCACTGTGCATTTGCACAAGAACCTGGACTGTTCCCTTGTTCATATTTTCCGCTTCTGCTTCACATAACAGCACCAAAATTTTAACAATAACTACCATGTAGTCTACAGGGCCATACCCACGACTTCCTTCCAAGTCTATTTTCGTGCTCAATTGTGCTGATTTGTTTATGTGGCCTTGTATATGGCAAACCGCAGTTTTCATGAAGGTAGAAATATATTCATGAGCTGTCGCCTTATTGATGCTGAATTCTTTCTTGAATGCATTAAGTGTTTTTTGAAGTGCATCAACAAAACTTTTTAATTCGTTCTCAGTAAATGGGTGCTCTAATGAGAGTAGATCATTCAAGTTGAATCTTGGGATACCACCAAGAGATTTATAATCCTGTCGTAATATTTCCTTAAACACATCCTTTAGTTCCCAATCTCTATAAGACTTTTTACCCTCGACTTTGACTTTTAGCTTAAGATTATAGTTGTTACCGTTTAGTTTGGTCTGAGATGCTAGAGTGTTAAAACTATACTCATTCCGAATCTCTTCTTTTGTTTCATCATTGAAAAAGTAGAATTCTTCTGTCTGTATCTCCTTAAATCTTTTTATGACTTCTTCTCGCAACAAACTTAAGGAACCACTGGTATGTGGTATATTACATTTACCTGAACAACGCAAATAATTAAAGATCACCACAACTACATTAGACGGAAACTAATAAGTACATATTTTAAGTGGGAAAACAAAACCAAGAAAATAAAAAACTCATTTACTGTTTGCATTTGAGAGTGAGTAGCGAACAAGAAGTGGCGTTCTAGCTGTTGTATCGCGTGCCAGAGTTTGTAAACAAGTATCTGGTGGAATAAGTGTGTTGTTGTTGTTATCTAAGAATATGATATTTTGATTTTTAACGTTTTTTAACTCTTCAAACTCTCTCTTGAGAATAGGTACGAAATCTTCCAAGTCTTTGACTTCAGATAAATCAGCTTTCAATTTTATAGCCCTTGGTTTCCCCTCAAGAAGAACCCACATTTTTATTATAGAGTTTGGACAAGAAGATTTGTTCGTGGAACCTGCAAAGGACATCTTTTTTTTTTTAACTGTGATAATACCAATTTAGTTTAGTTCTAATAATCAGAAATTGCGTGAATCAGGATTTAAGCAATTTACTGCAAAAATTGTGAATTTTATAAAGTACGAATGACACTTGTTTTGGTTTTTTCAGATTTGTTGGCAGGTAACTCACAACTGTATGACCGCAAGCTTAAAACGAGTAAAATTACAGGTTAACCTTAAAATTTCCATAAAAGGGTGAATCTTATGACGGAATATTAATTCCATATTTGTGATTGTATTTTTGTAAATCAGCAAACATATTGGAAAAAATAAGGTAAATTGAGATAGTGCTAGTGTATAAAATTCAATGTGCCCTCAGAAATTAAAATTTGATTAGATTAAAATTGATTTGATTTGATTTGATTTGATTTGATTTGATTTGATTTGATTTGATTTGATTTGATTTGATTTGATTTGATTTGATTTGATTTGAT